CAATTGTTATGATAATCAAATCGCAACATGTATGATTTCAATGTCACTTGTCGATTCAGAATGCTATTGGAGACACTCTGATCATTTTAAAATCAAATTTCACATTCAGAAACTTGCTCCATTTTGGTGGAAACAAACTTAAACTTGAACCTTTTTGGTTGTTTTTAAGTTACACGTCGAGTTAAATCAAAAAAGAATTTTCCATTTCTAACTTCAGCTTTGAAGGAGGATTTTCTGAAAGCCTTTATTTTCTGAAAAGGTATCGCAAGACATATTTAAATCGGTGACTTTTATGATATAAAAAACTGGTATGTCTCATAACAATATCTTTGTTCAATTACCGCTTTTGGTAACCTTGAATTTGGACAGAACGCTTATTCAGTTGTTCATGATAACTTACAGCCTGAACAAATCAGCTGATAATATTTTGGCCCGCTTTGACTATGCCAGGACTCCACCAATCGAAAATTCGAAGAACGAAATGGAAGCTGCGTACGAGGTTCCTTGAATACTTTATGAGGATCGAATGGGCAGAATCTTATCTCTCTCCCCTACTCTTAGAACACGAGAAAATCTTCTATTGATCACTGATTTTCAATCTTTTTTCTTAGGCAAAGCGAGCATTGGAGAGTTTGTGTAGAGCAGCAAGAGAGCATTGCAAGCGTGAGGTCCTTTCTGACGACTTCGACCTGCCTCGACTCCGCCCCGGTCAATAAAATTCAAAGTTTCAGTTATTCGAGGAGAAGAGAGATTATCCACGATAGAGAAAGAGGACTTCTATTGTCATAGCAGAATAACTGAATCTAGAGACATTTGATAACACCATTGACTTGTATTTAACCGACCTAATTAACTATGAAATAAATTGCGACGTTTGATTCAGTCATGATGCACTAAGTGTCTCAAGGATTGATATCACCCCTCTTAGCGCTATAGCTTTAAATTGTACCTCAGGCATTTGACAAGAACGGAGTGAAACTATCGATTTCTGTTGATCTTTAGAATTCACCTACGTGACGTTTGCATCCACACGCAAAATGTGTGTAAAATTTATTTGATATATAAGCAATGGCTTCCATTTGGCGAAAATATTAAGATCTGCACGGATATTTGTCCGCGGTCATTATCTGTTCCAAGATGAGAACAGTTTTCGAGAGCGAAACTGTAAGCTTCGAGCAACGCACTTTTTCGTACCAAATGAAGTCTATTGTATATATTGTCCTTCAAATACTTTGGCAACGCGCTGGTGTTCGCAAACAATGTACTCTTTGCTGCGCGTGGGATGTTTAGTTTTCAGTGTTCTCTGGTACGACTCTATCAACAAACACAGATGTCCCTTCTTCTGTAACAATAGCTGAACGCTCTCTCATCTTAAATTAAACTTTAAACGCTTTTATCGCAATAGACGTAAGGTATGTCCTCGGATAATCCCCAGTTTTAGCAAGGTTCATTTTCAATGACTTGGCCAGTCGCGCGCGTGCAAAATTACGACATGGATTTTTAACAAACATTAGAGTTCCACAAGTGCCTGGAAGATGCCATACTACTGAAAAAATTGAAAATCGGTTATTCAATGCACAAAAAAAATCAGAACATTCTTCGATAGATGCTTCAGTGTGGTTTATGGCTGAAGGTGTAGAGGGCTGAATACATTCAGAGACACGCCTGTAAATCATTAATATTGTTGCTGGAAAGCAATAATATTAATCATTACATTGATTGCTGATCTTTTATATAAAAACTGACCAGATCTCCAGCAAAGAAAATAAAAATCGTTCTCAGAGAATTCCTGGAAAATGCGACACTTGACAGCATTCGGCTGTATGAAGTCCCTCAGTAATTTCTGTTCTCACCATTACTTCGTTCACCATATTGACCTTTCATTTAAGGGATAAAATTTATTGATGAAATGAAAGTAAACTTATTTCGAGGAAGCTAAGAAACTGCTATAGCCTGTGGTTAGCAGGGGTCAAATATGAGGAGAGGAAAGAAATTGAGTTCCACGGTCCCTCATGCGCAGTTTAAATTGATAAAAAAATCCTTTAGTTCTGGTACCCACTCAATCTAAAACGAGCGGCAGAAACTGACAATATATGAGCCTTTAATTACTATTTAAAATTAAATCCTTCACAACAGCTGCGAGATTGGCGTGTATGATAAACCCCAGGAACTCTAAGTTTACGAAACTTTAATCATCCCTAACAACAATTGGCGTTATTTGCATGACTATAAGTTCTTGTAATATTGCCAAAGCATATGACTTAACCAGGAGGAACAACGGGGTAAAGATGAAAAGTCAGTCGGGCAACATCGACCTCGAATTCATTTGATAACAAACCTATTGTGTAAATTCCAACGTGATAATGATTTAAAATCATTATTTCTTGATGGAGGTTATAAACAGAAAAAAAAGATGGAAATGGGCTTGCAATGAACTAAAGTACTCGATTAAAGTCGCTAAGTCCAAGATTTAACTAGCATTTGCCGTTAATTTTACTATAATCTTAGGCTTACTATAAGCTAAGACCGTGTTTAATTGGAGATTTGTAGAAGGCTAAAATTAACGAATCTCACATCTGAATAAGCCAAGTTGATGACCTAAAAGCTTACAAAAAGCGTCAGATCAAAGGTTTCTGCGGCTGTGTAAGGCCATACTCAAGCAGACACTTGTGTGGTAGATATCTGCACACCTAGTGTTTCCGAATATATTAGTTTGAGATACTGTCGTGATTTTCGAATCCCAATCTCAAGAGACAGTTCTAATAATGAATTTCTCTCATTTAAGTACGCCTTCTGCAATCCGCCTGTTGATAATAATGGTTTTAATATTACATGAAAGTGATGGATTCACGGCTGGTATTGGTGCCAATGTTCCAGGACGAAAACGCAGTGAAATGAAGGTGAGTCTGGGAGAACTTCAATTTTATAAACCTTCGTTATTCTCAGAATAACGTCATTAAACTGTGAACTACAACTTGAATAATTCGCAGATTGTTCTTCGTAATTTGAGAAATGGTTTTATGTGTAAAGTAGGCTTGAACTGAGCTTAGCGAAATTTTTCCCGTAACTCAGATTATAATTCGTTTTTAGTTAGCAGTGCATTGTAAATTACGGTATCAAAATCCGCTTCCTTTCTGAAAAATTGATATAGAATTTTGAAATCTCTGGAAAACCTTCCGTTAAAAATATTCTAGCTAGCGAAGGAAGCATTTTCTTGATTTAGGTAAGTTACCTCGCATATTTTTCGCATAAGTTGTGGTTAAACTCTTTTCGTTAGGCCTGCCTCAAGAAAGAAAAACCCTCTCACACTGTGTACATTAACCGTTATAACTAGGCTCTTCAAATATTAGAAGTTATGTGCAAAACGTCCACGCCTTCTATCCCGTGGTAAATGTTATTTTTACCTCTTTTCTTTTCATTTCTCTTTTCACTGCTTTAAATAGCTCCAGCAAATACCACAGAGACCAAATCCATCGAGGTTTGCCAAAGGAACACCACATAGGAGAAGATATCAGTCTGACGAGATAATGACGAAAAGATCGATGAATACAAGAGGACATCAAAAGAAATCAGAATTTAGCTGAGCGAGCAGAACATTTATCCAAAAAATTCTCCAGCCAAAAATTTTTCAGCAAATGAAAAGTGGAACTTAGTGCTGAGCTTGGAACTAATTTAATAGATTTTTTTTGCATCCTAATTAAACAGAGTAATATGAAGCAATTTACTTTAATTTTCTGTTTTCTTTCATCCCTTCATGAAAATCAATAAAACTTCCTAACTAATTTGGTTCTGAGATATACGCCAAGTTATTTATCCGAGGGGGTGAAAGAGGTTTTTTTCGAGATGCCAGATTAAGTGTCTTGTAATGTTCTTGACATGTGAAAATATGAAATTAAAACCGAGTGAACTGTTAATTTGCTCGTTGTGATAGTTGAACCTTAGGGTGTTTATTCAATTCCTCAGTGATGCGATGCGTTATTTCTACTTTGTGATTTGAGTGAGATGTGCGCAAGACTCCCCACCCACCCCCACCCACCCCCTTACGACCCCCTCACCCAGATCTTAATTTCTTAGACAAAGTACATTTTATATAAGAACTGATAGGTACCCCTCTAGCTGTCCCATTTAATGATGTCTTAAGGTCTTCACTACCATAGGGAATTGCTTTGCGAAAGATTTTTCAACTTTTCTTTGATACGTTGTTTACGAGTTGTCATTAAACATTAAACAATTTAGTTCTGATGTCACAATTCGAACCTGTCATCAATATCTTTGCTGCAACCAAGTTCCCAGGGTCCTCTCTCTTCCTCTCTCAAGAAAGAAAGAAACAGGACCCTGGGAACGAGATTGATCTTGCTAATGTCATAACTTGCACGTTATATATCAGCCCAAATGCACTAAACTTCCCTACGAGTAACCGGGATGCCTTGGAATGAGTTAATTTGGCGCCCCTTTGGGCATTCAAAAGTATTTTCTATGCAACTACAATCAGAAACATCTTATTTCAGTCTGCACAATAATCTTAACAGAGGTTTAAAGTAGTTTGTCAGGTTTATAGCAAATATTAGTCACATGTAGACATACTAAAGTACCCACCTTGTGCCCCATAACTGGGGCAAATTCGCCTTGTTTTTTTCTTCTTTGAGTGGGTTTTTCGTCTCGTAAAAAAGCTTCCGCTTCTTCAATAAGATCTTCTAAACTCTTGCTTTTCTCCGCCGCTATTTCGGATAAAATTGGTCTCATTCCCAGAATTCTAAGTAAACACGGTCACTTGTGAAGGAGACAAGTTAAGATTATTTCCATTTGAGGAGTAGATCTTGTTCGCTCCTTTTCAAATTTCGTCCTTACAGGGTGTGGGAAGGGTGTAACTGTGCCACATTTCATGGAAATCACTTTCCGTTAAGAAGATCTTTCAGGAACATAGAACTGTTTAAATTTTAAACTGTTGGGTGATTCGCTCATTCAGTAAAAATTAAATGGCACTTCCACCGACACCTGTAGCCATCAAAGGGCCTCAATTTTTTTTTGGAAATTCCAACTCACTATCAAAATAAAATTTCCCAACGAGTCTGCCCCAGTCTATCACTGCTGTCCTCGGCCAATATGGCGAACAAGGCCTGACCGTAAACAGACGCGCGAACAAATTTACAACGTTTTAGAACGGATGCTGTATATTTGTACTCAAGAGTGAGACAATATGAAGATCCAGGGTTGTGTGGCAATAGTAACAGGAGGAGCACAGGGGATTGGAGAAAAAATTTGCCGAGCTCTGCTGGAGAAAGAATGCAAAGTAAGTATTGAATGCAACTCAGGATTGTGATGTCTGCAAACATAATTTGAGAGATCATCGGGTTAATTCCTCGCTGACATCAGGGATCACTCAAATATTTCGAGTGATTTTTTTCTATTTTGTTCATCGTAGTTTGGATTAATCATTCTCTCAATTAAGTTTGTGAACAGTGTATCCTTCCCAACAGCTTGCTTGCCAAGCCTTCGATCAGGAGTGAGGATTAGGTTGACCTTGTTATGATACAACCTCGCTGCTTTTCATATGTAAATTACTTTGTTATCATGCTAACTAGGTACTGGTCTCTTTCACAACAAGCTCACCTTCAGCCTCACTCCAAAATGGCCTATTGAACATGGTATGAATGTTGGCATTGCATTTTGCAGTACTAAAATGATTTTGAAAATTGTGTTCCTAATATTCTGTATAAATATTCCAAGAAGGAGCTGTGTGAGGTCAATCAATCAATCCACATCATTCAATCTCATAATCTGAACTGGGTGGTCAAAAGATTTTGTCCCAACTGTAGGGGTTTCAAGGCTTAAAGGCAGGGCACTTTACTGAAACTTCTCCAAAATTGACTACATACTTTGACCTGTGCAACCTCTTTGATTACTTTGTTTCATGCATTTCAGCTTTACTTTTCCGAATCATACAAGTTGTTAGGGAGCTCAAACTAGGCCAACAATGGCAGCATGTGCTAAAACTTAAGCACCTCATGCTGCCAATACAATTTAACCTTGGATATTAATTGTCTTGCTTTTGGACATGGTGAACACATCAGGCTATATAAATAATATGAAAATACTTTAAAGCTTAAAAATTCATTTTAAATTGCTGAATACCTGGGTTTTTCTATCAGTAACTGCTTCCTTGTGCCTGCAGGAGTAGCTTACAGTCTGCAAGTTATGAAGAGATAGGTGTCAATATTTGCATTTTAATTTATCAAGGTTGCCATATTGGATTTAAATCATGATAAAGGCCTTCAATTACAAGAGAGTTTAGAAAGACAGTATGGATCAGGAAAAGTGATCTTCATTAGGTGCGATGTTTCATCAAAGTCTCAAATGAAAGGTATTGATCAAAACAATAATTTTAATGGTGCCAATATGAGCAACAATTTGAGTTTAATGAGTTCAACTTTTTTCTAGCTAACAGTTTTAGCCCATTATTTTGATCCTCTGACTGTCTTTTGAGCCATTGAAGGGAACTTAGGTACAGTTGGTCTGAAAAATTGTCTAACAATTGGCTAGGAAATGTTAGGTGGCCCCTGGTGATGTTGTTGAACTCTAAACAAGATGTTGGAGATCTTTACTCTCATGGTAATCTGTACAAAATTAGACTGGACTCAGAATGTTGATGAGATGCTCTCAGATCCTCTCCAAGATATCAGTCATGGGGACATTAAGCCTCCTAAAGACTGAATAGGAAGCAGTCAACTGTTTAGTGTCAGTTGAGGAAATATTGTCAATAGCATGGGTATAGCACCCAAACTTGTTGACAGAGGTTAACATGCTGAAGAGCTCAGTACATGAGCTTCAGTTCTTGGGTAGTTCAGTGCAGCAAGAAATATGGACATTACATGTACATTGCAGACAATGTGATAACAGCCATTCAGTTTAACTTGATCTGTCACATGTGTTACGATGTTTTAACCCTAAAACTCCCAAGATCTGATTGTTAATTCTCCCCTCTAGCTCCTACATATTTCCACGTAAATTGGTTATGTGGTGTTGGATCAAGATAACAACTTCTTTAAGTAGTTTGAGTATTGAAATTATAGGGAGAAGTTATGTATTAATCACTTCAAGGAGTTAAACTCAGTGTTCAAGGGATGAGTGTTTAGACTGAGGAGTCCTGTGTGACCTATTGACTGACTAAATTGCTGTTAGGATCATTAACCACTGACAGACTGACTGACTGACTGATTGTTAAGCTTGTGGGGCTTAACTTTGTTTAATAATTAACAATGACTTATTATAGTTATTTATCCAAGTGTAAATTGCTTTTCTTTGTTGCCCTATGGCTTATAGACTCCTTCAAGAAGACAAAAGAGGTGTTTGGTCAGATCAATATTGTCTGTAATAATGCTGGTATATCATCAAAAAATGAAGAGCAGGAGGAAGAATGGGATAAAGAAGTTGATGTGAACTTGGTGGGTAGAATTGGTAATTTGCTGTGGTTCATAACTTTACTAGGTTTATTTTTATTTTTACAGATTTTATTTTTGAATCTTAGATTTCTTAGTGATTTTAGTTACAGGACTTTTTTGATAACAGTTCCTTTTAATTGAACTGATAGGTTATCCTGTATAAATATTTGCATTATTATTATTGTTATTATTATTATTATTATTGTTTATTATTATTAGATGATAGGATTATTTTGATTAATTTTCATTGAATGGTATTTGAAAGGCTAGTTTTCACCAAAAAAAAATTGGGGTTGAAGTCATAATCAGTTGTGCAGAGTGCTGTGATCTTGTGAATAGCAAACATGCAGAGACAGAAACAAAGTGCTGATGCCAATTATGACTCTATGACTTTTTTATAACAAGCTAGACTAGTGAAAAATAGATTGTTAAAGTTATTTTCTTCCTGGGCCTTAAAACTTGCATTGTAGTTTAGTTGTTCTGGCAGCTTCTTTTGTGACTCTGACAATCTATTTTGCACTGAATCATAAGGATTGGAGTCATAAGCACAATTGGAACAAAAGAGAAACATTCTGGTTGTTTGGTTCTGATTCTAACCAACTTACAACTCCTCTCATGACTCTTATTGATTTTCACTTGCATAAGTACAATTGTTCGTGTGATTTGAATTATCACCCCAACTCTGTCTTTTAAATCTGTTGCTGGTGAAAACCAACTTTAAGGGATTTTAAGCAGTAACTTCCAGGTTAGTGCAACAAACTCTGTACTGAAGGGTCTTGGTGTGGATTTAAGTAATAGTCATTCACTGTGTTGTGTTTTTGGGGAATGACGCTTAACTTGCACAATATGGCCTCTCTGCCCTGATGTATCAGTGATGACTAACAAACTTTCAAGAAAATCCCATAAAACATCTCACGGGGGAAGGTAACCCTGTGATGAACTTGCATCCTGCCCCAGTAGGTACTGAAGCAGAAGTAAGCCATGGAAGAATTTGCTTTGTGGCTCATAGCCTGATTCCTTTTTTTGTTTTCATTTTCGACAGTAAGACTTTCGATAATCTTTAGGGATTTTGTTCCACAGCTTCATTGTTATGTTGTGGTTGTTTTTGTAGAAGAGTGTAATTCATGGAACTTTTCTTGGTGTTCATCACATGAGTCGGATGCGTGGAGGAATGGGTGGTGTTGTTATCAATGTGGCATCAATGGCAGGTAGTCATGGAAATGAAATACGTAGCAAAATGTTCGAATTACATGAATTGTTTCCATCATATAGGGTTAATTATAATTAATAAGTTTCATATTTTCCTGAAATAAGTTTCTTTTGATATAATTATGATTTCATGCTCACATTACCTGCT